CCTCACTACAAGAAAGATGTTGCATTGCTGGAACATGTCCAGAGGAGAGCAACCAAGCTGGGGAGGGGTCTGGAGCACAAGTCATACGAGGAGCAGCTGAGGGAACTGGGGTTGTTTAGTCTGAAGAAGAGGAGGCTGAGGGGAGACCTTATCGCCCTCTACAGCTGCCTGACAGGAGGCTGTAGGGAGGTGGGGGTCGGCCTCTTCTCCCTGGTAACAGATGATAGGACAAGGGGGAATGGTTTGAAGCTGTGCCAGGGCAGGTTTAGGCTAGACATTAGGAAAAACTTCTTCCCCGAAAGGGTTGTCAGGCTCTGGAATGGGCTGCCCAGGGAGGTGGTCGAGTCCCCATCCTTGGAGGGATTTAAAAGAAGGATAGATGAGGTGCTTAGGGACATGGTTTAGTGGTGGGATGGCAGGGTTAGGTTAAAGGTTGGACTCGATCTCAAAGGTCTTTTCCAACCAAAGTGATTCTATGATCAGATGAACACATGGAAGCAGATTATGTCTTCCACTAAACGTAATCTAGTAATTCTTTACAGAACTTGAAGGACTCAATAGTATCTTGAAAATAGGTATCAATATTTTTCACAGAGGCTAACTCTAGTAGCTGAAATGGAGCTAAATGCTTGGCTGTAACTTATTTAATGGATCCAAATAAATGGGCCTGCCCTGAGCCTTCCAAGTGTGTCCCATAGTACCTGTATTATGGAGATTTTTTCTGTTTTCCTGGGCATCATAGGCCTTTGATTACTTCAGGTAATGGAAAATCAAGTACTAGAAGATCTAACGGAGACAACGTTCACACAGCTCTAAACTGCATTAGCACAACTGTGTTTGTATAACTTAGTTTATGTTTCAGCTATGTGTGTCTGTTATTACATGAAGCGTGATTGCAGTCTTTCAGTTTAGGACACCTTACACTTCCTAATGTCTGTATTTGTCTAGCAGTTTAAAACTTTTCAAGTTTTAAACTGTGTGTGCATATATATATATATGTATAACTTGCCACTAAGCTGCACTGGGTATGACATTGTTAAGACGACACTTATCTTTAGATACTAATATTTCGGGCCTAATTAGGGGAAAAATACCCCAAATTCAGCACAAGAGTATTTGATGATAAGCTGAATAAAGTTTTAATTTTAGAGTACACAAGGTAAATACACTTTATTAAACATTTTTAAATGATTTGAAGAAAACCAAATGGAAAGTTTCTTCTGCATGTGAGAACACCAGTGCTAACACAAAATTTAATAACAGTACGTAAAGTAAACTCAGTAGCTGTGACTGTGCTATAATGTGTTTTGCATAAGTAAAACTCTCTTTATCAAAAGTTATACATATGTAGTACTACGTATCACTTTCAGCTCATTGCAATCCCGCTCGAGTAAGAGGGAGAAAGAGAAGAAATAATGTCTAGCCCAAAATAATACATTTTCACAAAATTCCTATTACGGTTTAGATTATTGTTCTGGATTGGTGGATCCTATAGAACTAAGTATTTGCTTTTGCTTTTAGTTATTTACATAAAATGGTATGTATTTTTTCCTAGAAAATCATATAAGCCTTATCATATAATTTTTAGGTCACAGGCAAGAAATACTGGCGGTGTCTTGGTCCCCACGTCATGAATATATTCTGGCAACAGCAAGGTAGAGATGTCACTAGAATGTTAGATATTCATTATGCATGTTTTTTGCAATTCAAACACACTATTAAAGTTAATCTTCATCATTTACTTTAACCTCTCCACAGTTTTATAGATCTTGCCTAGAAAAACTAAGCCTGAAAAGCTATCCAAGTAATGTTTATTTTATAGGAAAAGTGTACAGAATTTTGACACAGTAATTGCTTTTAAAGGTATGGGAAAATGATAGACCATTATAGACATACTTAGTTCTTACTCTTTTTTTAGCGTGTGCATTGCTAATCTGTTTCATAACAAAATAAAACATGTTTAAATCAAGTGCCATCCAGGTTAATCATGCTCAATTATGTCAAAGAGCATAATGCAGGCAGCTTAACTGACAGGTAATAACTTCCCAGCTGCAGTAATTCAGTGAGTATGGATTGTATGTTGATATTCCTGGACCTTTTTTTTTCTTTTCCTCTTGGCTTCCCTCTAATTTTTGCATATGTTAGCTTTTAATTATAAAGTGACAGTTCTCAGTTTCGTGATTGCCATGTTTTTTCTTTTGAACTGCAGAGAGGAATGTCTGGTTTATAACTTGAGACTGGTTAGAAAAGATTAGCCAATAGAAGCTGCATCATCAAAAATGGACAACTGTAGGCTTTTATAAATAAGGAAGCTCTTTCTACACCTTTGCTAAGAATATTTCAATGAACTACCTGCAGTTTGTTGCTCATGTTATAGTCAGCTCAAACCTCAGTGTTACCACTGTTTATGGTCTTAGAATATTTGTTTGTAGCAAAGTAATGTATTGTCAGCATATTCCGTTGGAATACCACTCAGAAGTTAATGGAATCAATCTGTAGTGGAGGGGAGCACAAAAGAACAAATTAGTCATTAGCTTTGTCAGATGCAGAACTGATAAGGAATAACAGTTGGCTTTGCTTTGGTCAGTATGTATACTATATATATTCCCAATATTAATGCACTGATCTAGCATGAGAACACACAGGAAAAAGCCTGTAGTACTTCAGCTAGAAGACTGCTTATCTAAGAAGCAGTTTGATTGGGTATATCTTCCAGCTGTAGGTCAAAGAGATGCAGTTGGTTTTGTTTAGCTGGGGTGAAAAGTGATTTATGTTTTTGTTTTTTTCCTCCAAAAGTAGTTATTTCCTGGGAACTGTCCAAATAGTTTCAGTAAACACATCTACACTGGTGACTTAGTGCATGGGAAGCAGTCTTTTCTCCTATCTCTCCCTGTGAGTCTTGTGGTGCACACAGAAGTGTACTACTGTAATGTCCAAAGCAAGCTGCACATGAAGGTGCCGTGCAATGCAATGTTGCTATCTAAGCGTGTACCTAGTATGAATAGTTATCATAGCTTTTGTTGCTGGTGAAGTGTGAGCAAAGCGTGAGCGTGCAGCCTGGGAATCAGAATGAATCACAGCAGCCTGAACCTTGGTCTTTCCCTCCTTATGCCACCCTGGTAATGTAGACAAAGCCAATGAGTTGCTACAGAAGCAAGCTTGCAGTGTTTCTCCACCATGGCACCGTAAGACAACAGAGCATATAGACCTATCCAGCCTGCATGTATGTAGCTGTGTACCTGTCATACTGTAGATCTGCGATAGCAAGAGCCTGAGTTCCCAACCATTGCAGGCAATGCCGGAGTCTGTAGCTACAGTTTAGTCAACAGAAGAATTAGCAAGTTTATTCCTGGTGTCTGTATGTGTGCAAGGGTGTTATCTTGTAGACAGAGGCAAGTTTGTTGTCTACAATACAAAGATTCACTTTTAACTTAGCTGCTTGTAATGTACCGGCTATATTTATTAATTCACGTAAATGAATGTCTGAAGACAGTCTTAATCTTTTCATGGAATTCTGTTGACTTGAATGTGACTGCATGATGAGTAGTTTAGAATAGTTGCTGGACCAGGGTGAGTGCCAGGTGGGTTGGCTAAAGACAGTTCTTGAACCAGGGTGTGCACAATTTTCTTAATGTATGCAAATCTGGTTTTCTTAGTGCTGACAGTAGAGTAAAATTATGGGATGTGAGGAGAGCATCTGGATGTCTGACTACGCTTGATCAGCACAATGGAGAAAAGTCCAAAGCATCTTCTGAGGCAGGTAATACAGAACATAACTGGTGGTAATCCATATGTAACTGGAAGCGTTCTTATATTTCATAAGTGTGTTGAATACTAAGACCAACAATAAGAGTAGTGATAACCCAGTTGTTACCTACTACGTAACACAGGCTATTGAATTTTATTCTGTTACTTCTTTTATAGAGACAGTGTTTGTGGTTGGGGATCTTGTTTAGAGAGATCCCCTTGATAACAATATTGTATCTATTCTAAATGTTTTTCCCCTTGTAGTGGGAAATTTTGCCATCCATTTTATGGGCAGAAGAATTCATTCCTGATGTAGATTAGGTTTCATATAAACAGCAATCACTTCATACTTCATAAGCTGTTTCAGTAGTTAATTACCCTCCTTTAAAAACAAAGACAACACAAACAAAACCCACAAAAGCGCATTCCTTTTCCTGTTTAAATGAATCTTTCTTCCAATAGAAGCCTCTAGAACATTTTCTCATACACGGTGCCATAAAATCAATTATATTCCTTTTATACTGCATAAAGTATACAGGAGAGTATAAATTTCTGATTATATTTCATTTTACAAGAAGCTAAATTTACAAGAAGCTCATTTCAGTACAGTCAAATGCGTTAATGGTGCCTTGTATCAGTTGCTATTAGTTACAACATCAACATTTTAATGTATCTTCAGGTCTCATTTCCTTACCTAACAAAGAAAAACAACTCTAAATTAAAGGGAAGCTTCTAAACTTTAAATTATAGTTCATGAATTTTGGTCAATTCTGGACAGTAGAGATTTAATTTTGGCAGGCCAAAAAAGTACTTGAACAGTCGCTCCTCTGAGGTAGAAATACATAGTTTTTGGAATTGAATCACAAAGCAGAAACTGTGTATCATGGCTCTGAACAAAGGGATTTGCGTACCATGAATCATAGTGATAAAAGCTACAAGTCAGTCTGACTTGTTGTGTACAACTTAAATTGCGTGCAGAAAAATACATCCAAATCTCTTGTAAAGTCAAACTGATTTTCAAAAATGTGCAGTTAAGAGGATATAAAGTAGCAGTAAGTATCTGTTTTAATAACCATGCTCTCTGCTGTGTAAATTGTAATGTAATATAGATGCTTGGTTTTGACAGCTTTAAATTTCATTGAAATTCAAGAAATTACTGAGACGAAAATGCTATAAAGAAATCTAAGACTTCTGAAAGAAGAAAAGTTTGGACAAATTTTCTTTTACAAAAAAAATTCCATGTAACTCCCAAGATAATTAGTGCCATTTTACACATTCCTTTGAATGACATGTTGTCTTGTTCAAACACAACTTTCTTTTAAACTTTATTTCTCTGTCTGACAGGTTCAAGATGATTTTTTGATAATTTAATGGCAATCTGGTAGACTAGGATATTAAATATATTGAAATACAGCTGAACTAACCTAAATGCAGCTAACGTTTTTTTTAAATATAAAATCTTTGAAAAACAGACAACACTTTTTACCCAAGAAGTATGTTTAAGTCACGTACTGCAGTATAATGCAGACCTTAGCCATTTTTCAGTGAGTTAATTTATGGGCACCATAATTAGGTTTGCTGTGGTAGCACTGAGCTGGACATTAGCTACTTTAACATACTTAAGAATGTGCAGTATTGCAGGCTGAACTCAATGGAATTCATTTATAGCACTCTGTAATCAATATAGATAGAACAGGCTGTTTCACTTGGAATGGGCCTACAACGATCATCTAGTCCAACTGCCTGACCAATTCAGGGCTGACCAAAAGCCAAAGCAGGTTAAGGGCATTGTCCAAATGCCTCTTAAACACTGACAGGCTTGGGGCCTCTTGGGACCACCTCTCTAGGAAGCCTGTTCCAGGGTTTGACCACCCTCTTGGTAAAGAAATGCTTCCTCATGTCCAGTCTGAACCTCCCCTGCTGAAGCTTGGAACCATTCCCATGCATCTTGGCACTGGGTACCAGGGAGAAGAGCTCATCGCCTCCCTCTCCTCTTCCCCTCCTCAGGAAGCAGCAAGAGCAAGGAGGTCGTTCCTCACGAGGCGGCGGGGGCCGGGGAGCGGCGCGCAGCCCAGCGCGGCCCCCAGCCGCTCCTCACAGGACAGGCCTTCCCGCCCTTTCGCCGGCTGCGTTGCCCTCCTCTGGATGCATTCAGGCACCTTAACATCACTCTTAAATCGTGGGGCCCAGAACTGCACACAGTGCCCAAGGTGGGGCCACACCAACGCTGAATACAGCGGGACAGTCGCCTCTTTTGACCGGCTGCTTATGCTGTGTCTGGTGCCCCCAGGATGGGGTTTGCCCTCTGGGCTGCCAGGGCACACTGCTGACTCCTGTTGGGCCTGCTGTCGCCCAGCACCCCCAGGTCCCTTTCTGCAGGGCTGCTCTCCAGCCACTCCTCTCCCAGTTTATGCTTGTGCCTCAATACTCTGTCTCAGGTGCAGGGTCTGACATTTGTTCTTGCCATTTATCGTGGCCCTGTGCTGCAGTCTGTCTAGATCCCTCTGCAAGGCCTCTTGTCCCTTGAGCCAACAGCACCTCCCAGTTTGGTATCATCAGCAAACTTGCTAATGGTGCATTCAGCTCCTGCATCCAGATCACTGATAAATACAAGGAACAGAACCTAGAATTGAGCCCTGAGGAGCACTGCTGGTGACTGGCCACCAGCCAGATGCTTTTATAAACCAAGAGTTCAATTATTAATTTACTGATGTGTTACCATTTAAACAGCACTTTCAGTACTATACATTGAAATAAAAATGTGTGTACAAAATTGTAATTCTGCTGTAGAAATCTGAACCAGCTCTTTTTTCCTGATAGCGAATACTGCTCACAATGGGAGAGTTAATGGTTTATGCTATACAAATGATGGACTTCATCTGTTGACCATTGGTACAGATGATCGGATGCGACTCTGGAACAGCTCCACTGGAGAAAACACATTAGTAAGTTTTCAAGGATCTTTGCTTATGTTCTTACTTGCACTTAATTTTAGAAGATTTAGAACTTGTGAGATTGTCATTACAACTTTGGATATTTGCTAATTTTCATAAAGGATGTTAGCTGCTTAATCTCATTGGAAGATTTTATGAGCCTTTTTTTTCCAGATTTCTTTTCCTATTTCTACTTATTATACAAAAAAAAAAACCTCCAACCCAAAACCAGAGTATTAAGAAGCCTGGATCTACTTAAAGATTGAATATGGTAACTTCAAGTTCATTAATTTGTGAGCATAGCTGAAAACATTTCAGACAGTAATGGAAGCCTTAATATGCAGTGACTATTGGTAGAATTTTTTTTTAACCATTAGCTGTCAGTGTGCTATCCACAGGGCTGCCATCCATACCCAAGAGTTTCACTGGTTGACTGCCTGGCTTTCTTGCAACTTTGTGGTTTTTTTGAATCTCTGTTGCGGAGTTGTATAGTAGTGCTAAAAATACCTGTTCCTCTACATTTGCATTGGAACAAAGTGAGGCAGGGAGGGGTGGCACAGGGGCAGTAATCAGATCTCTGCTGCTGCTCCAGTCCTTTCTATGGCTTCTTTTTTGCTGAAGGCTTCTGGTTTAATTTTCTGTTCAGTAAAGAAAAGTGTTTCCTATCTTTATTTTGAAAGAAGGATAGGTAAGTCAGTTTCCGTGGGATTTTAGCCAGTTGTGATTATGGTCTGTCATTGCTATCAGGAAAGGAGGAAATTTTATTCTACCTTAGAAATCTTTTAATTCTCCTGCTTAGTTTCAGAACACAGCAAAAATAATTTGTTATAGACATTTAAATGAAAAGACTTTTCTATCTCCACACTACCCATATTTGCCAGCTTGTCCTCAGCACTTCATATACAGACATCTTTCTGTCTTCAAATCACCATCACCAAAGTAGATAATACAGTTTGTTCACTCTCCTATCACCAGCTGGATCACTGTTCTTTGTTTTTCTGTGCCTCTTAGTTCATTGACTTGTTTCATAGGCTATTGGACAATTTTTTTATTTGGTCTGGAATAGCTTGATCCTGCTTTGCTTTTTCAAGTGCAGAATCATATTGTCCAGAGTACTGTATTTTCACACACTGCCCAAAGGTATTACTTAAAATAATTTCAAGGCATTAGCAGACGAATAAATGCATGTACAAATAGTGCAAGATCGCACAATAATTCTTTTATTTCCCCTACTAGCCAGTCCTTCTGGTCTACATAACTTTTTTTATATACCTCTCAAAGGGTATAGATATTAAGCCATGCATATGATTTTTTTTGATCAGTGAGCCAAATTGGGGGCCTAGTGGATTGTTTCAGTTAGTAAGAGGAATGAATGTGGAGTCATACACATCTTGCATACATCCTTTATCACAAAAAGGAAGTCCTGATTCACTGAGCATAGGCAGAATCAAACCAAAGGAAGCAGGTTTTCAGTTTCTGTGTGCTCAAAGGACGAAACAAGTTTTTAAGATCTTCAGTTCTTCTTTTGCAATATCCTTTCCTTTCCTTTCCATTGGTCCTCTATCAAGCAGGAACATTTACACTAAGTATAGCCATATAATTTACTTTTCGAGCCACCACTTCCTCTGTTTCATTGTAGATGCCTGTGTTAGGAGCAGTGCTGTAGCTTGGGAATTGTTGCTGTTGCAGCTCACATGCTGTGTAAAGGAGTTTAATTGCTCTTTATCAGCAGAGTAATATGTCTCTTAAATCAAGTAGCATTAACAAGACTTAACACAGTGAGTATTTACAAACACTGTCTACAAAATGAGCAACATTATCCACAAAGGATGTGACATAAGCTCCACATCTCGTGAAAATATCCTCTCAATATGAAAAATACCAATGTACTTGTTTGTTAATCAAACTGTCTTTGTGTACATTTTTATGGTGACTGAGAGAGATATTCTCAGGTCTCTTTTCTTATACTTTTCTTATGTAAGTGCTCTTTTCTATGAAAGAGCATACTTTAAAAATAGAGCAACAAGTAGTTTTCGTTCTTGCCTGGCTCATGCTGACTGATGCTTATATTTGCCTCAAGGTTAGGGCTCAGGCAATTGATACAGTATGGGTCAAGAACCTGACAAAGCTATACATTTGTATTAGAATATTTACCTGCTAAAATTTAAAATCTGTTAGCTTATAGTCAAAAGATTTCACACTTAGAATTTCACACTATAGGCCATGAGGGTTAGGTAGGAAGCTTTAAAATTAACCCAGAGGACATTGTAGGACAACGCTATTTGAAAACAAAATATTTCCTATAAAGCTATGTAATAGTAATGAATTAAAATTTAAAATACTGTTATTAGAAAAAAAATGCTTCTTTTAAGACTTAAAAGAAGGTGTAAATTTCAGGTGTTTGTGGCAGACTTCTCTCTCCATGGGGGGCGGGGGGGGAGGATATTTGTCAAAATTCCAATGCTTTCTTTTAATTAAGTTTGTTTAGAGGTAAGCTATACTGTTCTTGTATTTCTGTGAATACACTTTAGATGTCTGACAGGACCTACTTAGACTAATATCATAGAATCATAGAATGTTTTGGGTTGGAAGGGACCCCTAGAGGTCATCTAGCCCAACCCCCCCTGCAGTGAGCAGGGACACCGCTAACCAGATCAGGTTGCTCAGAGCCCCGTCCAACCTGGCCTTGAATGTTCCCAGGGATGGGGCCTCCACTACCTCCCTGGGCTACCTGTTCCAGTGTTTTTTACCACCCTCATTGTAAAGAATTTCTTCCTTAGATCTAGTCTAAACCTACCCTGGTTTAGTTTAAAGCCATTACCCCTTGTCCTGTCACAGCTGGCCCTACTAAAAAGATTTTCTCCGTCTTTTCTGTAGGCCCCCTTTAGGTATTGAAAGGCCGCAATCAGGTCTGCCTGCAGCCTTCCCTTCTCCAGGCTGAACAACCCCAACTCCCTCAGCCTGTCCTCATAGAAGAGGTGCTCCAGCCCTTGGATCATTTTTGTAGCCCTCCTCTGGACCTCTGGACTGCTCCAACAGTTCCATGTCCTTCTTCTAATATATCCAACTGGAATATTTCTAGCATGTTTGGAAACTTTCCACTTCCAAATTCTGGTGAGATTTTTATCTGTCTAGGACTTGTCAAGAGCTTGAAGTGTACAGATGCTAATAAGCTATACTTCTTAAGCTACTTTTGTTTGCAAGGCTTCCCACACACCTCCCAAGCTAGTCCTTGAAAATGTAGCATTTGCTCCTATCCCAGCTGCCCTTATAGGGAACAGTATTGAATTTCTCAAAGGTGATTTAGCTTTGGTTAGGAGATAGGCTTTTTTACCACTCTTAAATAGTCCATAATAATTTATCAAGTTATTCTTTATTTGCTTCTCCTCTATGAGTCTTTCTTCTAATCCCTTTACTTTGCCTTTTACTTTATGCCATCCTTCTGCTTGCCCTTCAGTTGTTTTCATACTGCCTATTCATCTCCTACTGTTTCTTGGTAAG